TGCGCAAAAGGCATTCAATTACTACGTCGGGTAGTAGTTATGATAGCACAGAGCTCCGTCTCGAAAGAGTCCTCGTGCTGCGAGCATTCATGCCTGGACAGCGGATTCCAGCGTCAGACTGAGAATACCGACGACCGGGAGATGGGAGTAGGACCCTGTAGCCCTATCGGCAGCGAGGATTTCCAGGCGAAGGATATAGTTTTCATGTTTCTTGAAGCACGAAAGCAAAGAGAGGTGAGTGTGATTCGGTACCAGTGTCAAGCAGGATGACAACTCATCACTTACCAAGATAGCTCGAGTCTGAATAAGGCGCACCAAGCCCGGTGTGGAGATGGTGCCACTGCCAGTGGCCGTTCAGTTCCCAAAGAAACAGCGCCACTAACCTTCTCGCGAGAAGACATAGAGCTGATGATCCCTGTTTGCTTTTGCACGCCCGCCTCCGCTGTGGACCATCCTAGCGCACTCACACTCACTCGCTTATTGTACGCCACAACCATAATCCTGGTGCTTGGGCCACTGCGTCGATGTCATGTTTCACCTGGAGGCTGCCCTGCGTTGCCGTCATGTTCATTGAGGCGCACTTGGGAGATCATTCTAGACGGAGACGGCACAATTGTCAGCGCTGGCCAAACGAAGTGTTCAGGGTATAGCAAGCAGTCAATGATCTTTTCTCAAAATTGCATGTGGGGATCAACATGATGCGTCTTACCTGAGATACCTATAGCCGTTCAACGTATATATTCGTGTGTATCAAACAACACGGCATATTTAGGCTGACTGGAGAAGCACCCACGCCGTACACCGTCGTTTTCACGAAATGTAGAGAAAACCACCTTCGAAAGCGCGTACACTGGTTGGTACACCAAAAAGACATGCAACGCACAACCGGGTTGATGTTCAGTCCCCAAACCAATCACAGATACCTCGTAGACGACAAGACCGAGCTCTAAACTTCGTTCCGCGATCTAGCTTGGCAGTATTGCTCGGTTAAAGTTGATACGCTTTCCCTGCCAGCGCTGCTTGAGTGCATTCCGTTTGGATATCAAACTTGATGGGACCGTCCACCAATGTCGTATTTTCTTACAGCTTGTCGTTGCTCGAACACCGAAGAGTTTGTCGATTACAACAAGATGAAGCTGCTTTTGTGGCCGCTTCTTTCACCCGGAGTGGTCACGTGAGAGTTCGGTTGGCTGGAAGGAAGTAATCCGCCACATTATAAGAGCTCCGTCGTGCCATTGGGGTGTCAGCAAAGCCCATTAACGCGACGAGCAGTCTTCTTTGTGCTTGCTGCCGACGTCGCGGGGAGCAAGTAAGAAGATCACTACGTAACAAGACAACTTCATAGTGAGTCTACCGAGAATTTAGTCTCATCAGTGCCTTCGTGTCGAGATGCCATCGCTACCTTCCATTGATGAGTGAGCCTTAAGCTAGGGCGATCCTTTTTCGTACACAAAAGCACAACGCGAGGTGAGTTTCTCTCATCTCCCAAGTATTTCCTTACTAAACATACCATGATAATAAAGCGACAGCGCCTGCCATACGCTACAGCAGTTATCAAAGAGGGGTAGCCTTCGTATGCGATGGCATGGTTTGTCTTCCTCACTTAACCTCCATAATGACGCTCTCCATCTCCGCAGCGGAACCCGCTGTTACCTGCACATGTATCCGAAGACCGTCAGCTTACCAAGGTTACCCGGCATAAATGCGAGGCATAGGTATCGTACCGCTAGGGCGGAGGATGTGGCCCAGCTGCTGTTCCTGTATTCGGTCACAGAGTAGCTGAGATTCTTTGGCCGGGCATTGGTTTCTGTAAGTTATGCTTAAGTAAAAAAACAGAAACGTAAGTTTTGATGGTTGCCTCGGATGCCGTCGAATGGGCAAGCGAACCACAAGGACTCATAGGACACAGCTCGCCATACCCACCAGCGTATATGTCACCCGCAGCTCGACCACGCAAGGAACCATCCAGTCGATGCAGCTTGGGACACCACAAACTTGGGCGACTTGGCGGGGGCGAAAAAAGAATGCATCCGTCGGTCTGGAACATGGGTCAGAATTGTAATTTTTGTAGTGGTTTTTTTATACCCAATGAGTCAGCCTAAATTCGTCCATCGCGCCAGCGTACCTAATGAGTCAGCCTAAATTCGCCAGCTTCCTTGGTGCCTTGCAGCGTGCCGTAGCGCCTATGACTCGTGCAACGGCCAACACCAGCCAGCAAAGGGATCCTCTCTCGCTGTCTCGACGTCGAGCACGTACGCTGTAGCCTCTTACAGGACTTTCCCCTCGTTTCAAAGCTCGAGGAAGTGAGGGACCATTATGTCAACACGTTGGGCTACGATGAATGTGGAAACCAATTAGCACATACTAAACATTCACATTGAGTGGACTGTGGTTAGACAAGTCAAACCAGAAGATGAAGATGGAGCCCAGAGGTTATGGCAAGAGCTCGTAAGTGACTGTTGTATCCTGGTTGTGCTTGGTGCAGTTGCTAGCCTCCTAGCTCACCAGGGAACTTACCAGACGTTTTTGGCCACTAGGTTTGTCTTGTGTGCGGTTCACGCTCGGGAGATGGGGACATGATGGCGATTGCGTATGCCGCGTTGGCCACCGTACAGCACGTGCGTACGCTCCGCTAAGACAATTTGTCTGTCTACGCATGGTCTTGGTACTCAACACTCGTATGCGTAGCGTGACACAGCTCATCGTCGGCAAATATTGCATTGTGTTCCAGATCATTTCTTCCAGCTCGCCCACAGTCTGGGTGGCTCAGACTATCGCCCAGGAAATCTCGCGCGAGCCACTCTGGATGAAATACACATGCATCCGCGGTTGCGAAGACTTGCTGTATCGTTAGTACTTCGGTACGTGCTCGAGCAACAGCATAAACAACCTGTCAAAAAAATGACCACGAAGCGGGAGCCCCAGCAATTGCGAAGTGGTGTACTTTAAGTATTGAGCTCGGCAACCGACTCGACGAGATATTCTACGTGCGGTTGCATCGGGTACGAAACACCAATGCGTTAGTGTTTTGCAGTTTTTCTCGGGCTGCTGGCGGATATGACTACCACTGGACGTGTACTTTTGACTATACTATTTCGCTACATATTGCAGCTCCTGGAAATGACGCGCGTGGGTGTTTCTGTAGTAGATTAAGGGCCTTGCTTCGGCACGAGTATACCTACACGTTGAAAAGCTATAATACTGTGTAGGTAGGAGAGACAGCATCTTGCAGGTAGCGCATATCGTTTTGATTGAATTTTTCGTAATATGCTGAGTTTTGCGTTTCCAGGAAGGATGTGCGTTGGATTGACGCGACAGTGCGTAGTATCAGTATCACAACACGATAAGAGTTCGGAGCTTGGACGTGGTTAGTCACTGCATGGCCATTGAGTTGGCAGGCTTCGAGTTCCCAAAAAATAAAACAACGCCATTAATCTTCTCGAAGAATCAGTGCTGATGCTCTCCGGTTGCCTCTGTATGTCCGCCTTGGCCGTTTACACCGTTCTCCACAGTGCGTGGACCATCAGTTTCGCACTCACCCCTCGCTCATGCACTCCACAAGCGTAATAATGGTGTCTGCTCACCACACTTGTGTATGTGTGTTAGCTTCGGATATTGGTCATTGTTAGGACTTGGAGCTCTAAATGAGTACAATATACCTCACCATCGAAATGAAAAATGAAATAATTCCGGTGCCTGGGGCTCGAAACGCGTCAACGTCTCTTTGGGATCTTCTTGGCTCACTGAGGTCGAGCTTTCTGCGTCATGGTTCACAAACCGTAAGCTATAGCACCGCAGTACGGAGAAACCCCGCTATCAATTAACGTTTTAAGCGAGGTAAGTGCGGTCCCATCAAGTTTGATACCCAAACGGATTGCACTCAGGCAGCGCTGGCAGGGGAAGCGTGTCAACTTTAACCGAGCGATACTGCCAAGCTAGATCGCGGAACGAAGTTTAGAGCTCGGTGTTATCGTCTACGAGGTATCTGTTTCTCTGTGCGATTGGTTTCGGGACTGAACACAAACTCGGTTGTGCGTTGCGTGTCTTTTTGGTGTACCAGTGTACGCACTTTCGAAGGTGGTGTTCGCTACATTTCGTGAAAACGACGGTGTATGGCGTGGGTGCTTCTCCAGTCAGCCTAAATGTGCCGTGTTGTTTGATACACACGAATATATACGTTGAACGGCTATAGGTATCTCAGGTAAGACGTATCATTTCCAACACTGTCGCGGGTTTTGGGGCAAATGATGGACTTGTCATTGTGCCATCCTTGAGGGCGTGGCGTGGCGGGTTAACTGCGGCGAGGAAATTCGCGAATGAGCAGGACTGGAGCCTGCTTGCTTCGGAGTCCCTCCCGGTCTAACTATAGCCTAACTGCGTAGCGGGAAACACCGCCTTCGTCAGCAACTGCTCTAACCTATGTTACCTCTATTGCTTCCGCAACCTACACTGTTGATCCCCACATGCAATTTTGAGAAAAGATCATTGACTGCTTGCTATACCCTGAACACTTCGTTTGGCCAGCGCTGACAATTGTGCCGTCTCCGTCTAGAATGATCTCCCAAGTGCGCCTCAATGAACATGACGGCAACGCAGGGCAGCCTCCAGGTGAAACATGACATCGACGCAGTGGCCCAAGCACCAGGATTATGGTTGTGGCGTACAATAAGCGAGTGAGTGTGAGTGCGCTAGGATGGTCCACAGCGGAGGCGGGCGTGCAAAAGCAAACAGGGATCATCAGCTCTATGTCTTCTCGCGAGAAGGTTAGTGGCGCTGTTTCTTTGGGAACTGAACGGCCACTGGCAGTGGCACCATCTCCACACCGGGCTTGGTGCGCCTTATTCAGACTCGAGCTATCTTGGTAAGTGATGAGTTGTCATCCTGCTTGACACTGGTACCGAATCACACTCACCTCTCTTTGCTTTCGTGCTTCAAGAAACATGAAAACTATATCCTTCGCCTGGAAATCCTCGCTGCCGATAGGGCTACAGGGTCCTACTCCCATCTCCCGGTCGTCGGTATTCTCAGTCTGACGCTGGAATCCGCTGTCCAGGCATGAATGCTCGCAGCACGAGGACTCTTTCGAGACGGAGCTCTGTGCTATCATAACTACTACCCGACGTAGTAATTGAATGCCTTTTGCGCAGTAAAGAAGGAGTTTGTTCCCCCGGACCCATGCCGAGCCCGCACGGCTGCATTGAAAAGTGGTCAGCGGCAGCCATGAACTGTAATACAAGCCCAAATACATTATTTTGTGCCGTTTCAGTGACGCAACTTCCGTCCTCCGGATCGGTTCACGCTCGTACTTAAGCGGCGCTGTCTCCACTGGTCCGCGGCCAAAACACCGTCGAGTTCATAGAAGAGGCGCGAGGGGAACGTCCAAGATGAGCGCGACACCGCCGCCGCCGCCTCTCGACGTAGCCTCCGCCGGCTTCTTCCGCCTCGAATGCAGCCACGCGCAGCTCTTCCAGCCCGAGTACAAGAGGTACGCAGGCAGACCAAACCGCCTTATGCAGGCAGGGCTCACTGCTGCGCCATGCTGCACAATTTGCACGCACAGTTCAACTTGAACTGTTCAAGTATCCAACCGGTGACAACATATCCTCGTGCCTCGCAGGAGCAACCGCACCAAGGGCCTCAAGATCCTCCGGTATACTTGATACCGCCGTGTCCCCGATTTATCTGCTCTGTACCTGAGCCTGTTGAACCGCTGCTTGGTGCTGATTGTCCTTCTGTTTGGCCGTGCAGATGCTTCCCGCACTGCTGCCCCGAGCACATCGACCGCAGCTACTGCGGCGCGTCCCTGAGCGTGCGCGTGGAGCTGGCGGCTCCGTCCTCGGACGCCGCCGCTCCGGCAGACCCACCGCCCAGCCAAGTGGTGACCGTGTTCGCGCGCTTCGAGGCCACGAGCGACGTGAGTCTCCGACCCGGCGAGTGCGTCGAGGTGGCCAAGATGGAGGCCGGCACGCAGTCCGACAGCAACCTGGAAGGGCAGTGGGTGGCGGGCTCGCTGGACCGGCCGTCCAGACTCGTGACCACCATCCGCGCGCCCGGCACGCCGTCGGACGACCACAAGCCGCTCGTCTTCCATCTCAACGGCAAGCCCTTCTCCCGCTGGTACTACGACTGGGAGAGCGGCGCCAACAAGGCGCAGCGCCTCATGAAGCATGTTCTGAAGGCCTACATCGTCGAGCGCTGCGCCATCGACCAGGACGACAATTTCACCGCCTTCACGAGCCGACACGCGCGCACGCAGCTGTACCGCGTGCTCAGCGTCGTGACTTCGCCCGAGTTCACCGTCATTTCCTACCGCCGCGCACCGTCCGAGCAATACCAAGGGATGGTACCTGAGGGCGGATCGCCAGCGTACGCAGATCCTTCTTCTTACCACGGTGGTCTAGACCCTGCGCGTAGTTTTCATGCTTCGTACTCACGCTACTCACGCGTGTTGGATAACCAACTGCGTGGCCCTAGCGCCATGAAACCAGATCCCAGCGAAGCGTATCACGAGAGCCGCCCGCAATTATCGCGGATTTCAACCCCGCCGTCGTACCCGACGGAGATTTCTGATCGACTGGAGGACCAGTTGCGGTGGGAGCACGCGAACGAGTCGGCCGTGTCGATGTCGAAGAATCTGGCGCTAGCGTACTCACTCGTTCGCTGGGCGCCGCTCGGCGTCTATGCTTCTTGTGTTGATGAGGTTGCAAGTTGTCTTCAACAGCGTCTGCAGGAGGCGTTTAGAGGGACTTCAGTCTCCAGCGAGCTCGACAAGCTCAATTGTTTCTCCAAAGTTTTGTTTGACCAGGCGGAAACAGACGCAGGCTCAGCCGCAGCGTCATCGTTTCTCACACGCGAAGATGGACCCTCCAGGACGCTGTCGAGCCAGATAAATTCGCTGCTGCGTGCATTAGCGCAGGCGGCGCTGTGGTTTTTCTCGAAGACCACGCAGCGTTGGGTGCGCGCGTTCTTCTTGCAGTATGCCGAGTCCGTTCTGGACAAACATTCGCTCCGCGCGTGCTTCGTGCTGTTCGTGAAGGAAACGAGGAACCGCCTGGACACGGAAGTGTTCCAGAACACACAACTGCAGAGTCTGGCTAACGTGGCCGAGGAAGTCATCGCCGCTGTCTACTCTTGCTCGTTCTTCCACGCGCGACGGCCGCAGATTCGGGAGATTTTGAGCGGGCAGAGCTTCGCAGGCTGGAACGCGTTCGTGGCTCAGATGCGCCAGACCTATGTCAACGTATCGACTTGTCCGAGGAGCATCTCACGAACGATAGCTGTGCGCGATTCCGAGCCGAACTTTAATCGAGCACATCCGCCACAAAATTCAATTGAGAGCGACTGGAACGCCGAGTGGTTTCTGCAGGTGGACGAGGCAGTGTGGAAACCGAGCCAACAGACCATGAAAGCGGACTCTAAGAGCGGCTGTGATGGTTTTGCAGAAGATAGCGAAGCGATTTGTCTGCTCACCTTGTTCGAGACTATGTCGCAGATAGTGCGTCTGCAGGTGGCGATCGACGCACAAGCCTGCGTGCTACGCATTCGGTCTACTGAAGGTGTGGCCAGTGCACTAGACTGTATGTGTTTGGTGCTGGACGGCAAAGAGCGGGTGTTCTCTCAATTTCCCAACGGATTGGCGTCGGGCATCGGCTCAGGGAGACACGGAGACTATATCGGAGAAACGCGGGTAGAGAAACCCGGACGCCTCGTAGTATACCTGCAGGTTTTCACCTGGTCTACAGAGATACACCGACCCTCTTACCACGTGCGGCTACGAATCGAATGCTGGCAGAGTAAGCGGCTGTGTGTTAGCGGTGATGTACTTGCCACCACTGCACCAGCGTCCTTCCCGCTGGAGGACACTTCGAATCTGGGGGAAATGCCGCTACGAATGAAACGCGCGGCGGTGGCGAACTTCTTCGAGCAGCAACTTCAAGATTATTCAGCTGGTGAGTGGGCTACGTCTCCATCCGCTGGACCATGGAGGGAACTGGGTAGATTTCGTCTGAGTTACCTGAAGTTCTAGTGAGTCGAAGAAAGTGATATGTTCTGGCAGATATTATCCGTTGTATTAGGAGACTTAAGTACAACAACGGACGAGTCTGGTAGTGGCCCATGGCCAGCTCATCGGACGTAATATTACTTGTGACAACGAGGATTACAGTTGGTTGTGTTCCCGCCTGCTAACAACTACATGAGCCACGGTAAAGCGACAATAAACTGGACAATTCTAGCCTCAGCAAAGTTCGAGTTACATTTCATAGGTTAGTAGAATGTGAAGTAATTTATTTGATCATCCGCCGCGCGCCGGGTGCGCGGGAAAATTCTCTACATTATTCAAAGCCCTTACTCCTAAGCTCTAATTGTACGATCTCCGCGGCCGTATTGCCATCATGATACCAGCTAATACTCATGACCATGACTACGTCAATCCGAGCCTGCGCGTAATGAAATGAACTCATCAAAGATGAGTGATCGATATCACGGCGGATACTGCTGGTCTCACCATCCCAGTTGTCATATCCACAAGAAATTGTATACGCCTGTCCAACACTACTTGCCACTATTTTTTCAGTCACGATTTCATAGATTCGTGTTTGCCGGTTCGTCTTGTGTGATGGGCTCGCAAGAGCTGTATTGCAACAGCTAATACGTACCGCATGCTGCGCTGGAACAGTGCACCGTAGTAAGCCGCAATATCTGCCAACTCCTTTTCATTTAAGATGCTGCACAAGGGAGAGAGACACTATCTGGAGCTCATCCAGCTTTAGAGAACATCATACTATAGCACTACTTACCGACGAGACCGTCCCGTAGCTGTTGTTCGAAATACAAAATGGACATCAATAAATGCATTGCACGTACCAGCGTCGGCCAATTGTTTTGCATTCCTTCGAGTTTGTTCCTTGAAACTCCACACGCCATACCGTGATGCTGTCAGTTGAATATTTGCTAGTTAAACAAATACATACATCGGTGGGTATTAGTGATTCGTTGCAAAATTGTGCATGGCTGCTTGTGCGGGGTTATGCTCGTCACATCCTCAGTTATGGTTCCCAGGATCTACGGACGAACTTTTAAACGTTGCTGGGAACGGTATGGACGCTCACCAAAACAATCAAAGGGTATGAAGCGCGAGCTCAAGATTCACGGGGTTGGTATAGGGGTGTTTCTCGGCGCTGACAATTTAAGCAGCCCCCGATCATGACACCATGCGAAGAGGGAGGGAAAACAAAGCCCGGCGCAATGCTTTAGCCTCTTGAAACTTTGGGAAAACGTAGGGTGTAGCTGCTTTGTGAGGCGATAGGCAGCTTGAACTCGAGTAAAATTCATCTCATTTTCTTAAATCTTCCAAGATCCGTTCGCGATACGTTTATCAGATCCGCCATCCTTTGTCCTCTCACTTCTGGAGCACCACATTAGCACCAAACCGTCAAAGTCAGAACACGCTATGATTTTGAATGCCGCGTACAACATGTCAGAGTTGATGGGTGAGCGGTATTCCAGCCTGTGTTTCACACATTAGCCGACGCCAATGTTCTGAATTAACGCGGACGGAAACGTTGTATAATCACAATGATCTGCATCACGACAAATATTAGATACCCCAATCTTTTTACATCGCCAGAAACGTCATTAACGTACTCTGGTTACCCGCACGCATATAAATATCAAGCGACCAGGCTCTGCCAGAGGCCCCACGTCCGCGAGCAGAATGCAGTTGGCCACTTCGCCTGGTTCAGCTTCTTCTGGGCTAGAGGCTTCCCTGCTCCTCCGTTCCGGTAAAGTGCCCTCACCGTGTAGGCTAAATTAGCGGAAACTGGGCCACAACATGTCCAGGTTGGTCACAATTGTAATTACTTGAATCGGTTACGAAAGGGCGGCCGTCCATCGACAGTTCACGACACCACTTTTGACTGCGCCGCTAATTCACGAGAAGACCGCTTTACCTCTGTGATCTCCACCCCTCAGGGCCACGACTTGCCTGCGACTTGGTACGTACCCCTTTGATGTGTGCAGTCTCCCCAGCAATAAGCTTCGATATCGGTGAAGGGGCTCTATCGCGTACGGTACGGCGGCTGATTCTTACATGTAGCCATGTGCGGCTTTAGCTCTGTTGTGCGTGGTGTGAACAAGCTCAGAGTCGATGAATCTACAGAAGAGTATCATGAACTGACGATGATAGATTGGTGTACTGTTGCTATTGTGTTCCTCACCAGGGCGACACGCAAGATCTTTCTCTATCGATTTATTTTCCAGATGAAGAAGCGCAAACGACCCGCCGAAACGACCGTGTGTTCAAAGACACGTGCTCAAGGAGAGTCTTGCGAGGACTGTAGAATCATGTGGCTCCAGACACGGTGAAGACTCGTGTTTGAGGTCACCACGCGAGGCCACGAAAACTTGGTCGGTTGGAACTGTGGATGGTGCACGAAGTATGGCATCTTCCTTGGAAATCGACTTCTCAATGCCTTGCCTGTGACGGGCCCACTAATATGCGGGACCAAACGTTCACAATCGATTTTTTAGTGGTTTACTTTTGGCATCATCTCACTACTAGAGAAAAATTATTTGAAATCTTGGGTCTCGATGGTGGTCCAAGTTGATGATACGTTGGAGATTGTCGCCGGTGTATCTTCAGCGAATTGGTAGCGCAGTGTTTGATTCAAACAACACTGGGCCGTCGTGTGGCGATGTTACTTAGACCAAGGAAATATTGTGTCAAGGAAACTTGAAGTATGATGCTGGGCGTGATGGTGAAAAGCGACAACGTAAGTACGGCAAAACATCACGTCTCACGAAGTACACACTGAAGCAAAATCGCGGATTTCTGAAGACGATTCGGCTGCATCCGCGTGTTTGTGTATGCAAAAGCAATCCTTGACGAGGCTGTGTTCCGCAGCGAGTCGTCCGAGCTCACTCAGTGCTACATGTGAGGTAGTGTTATCGACTGCAAGGTGACCGCATCGAAAGCAGACAAGCAGCATGTGCGTGTAGTAGGCTTCCAACGCACTCCAAACGAAGTAGTGTGTTGATGAGGGACAAGCAGTATTTATGAGACTGCGGATGCTGAGCTGAGCTGGTGGTCGTGGTGAGGATTCATTATCGAGTCGTGCTGGCGTCCAGCGCCACCCCTCCATTCCACGTTGATACAATGCACTGTGACACCTAGTAAGCGGTTTCAAAGCGCTGGAGGAAAACACCTCGAGCTTGTGGTTGCCGATTTGCGCTTTCCGGCTGAAATGTAAACTGGATCGGCGAATCTGGATCATCTGGCGGCATCGAATGATTGAGAAGTGACGCACCGGCATTGCTGCGATCGATGCAGCCAAATTGCTAGCTGCGAAGATTGTAGCGAAGGTTGCGTGCGTTTTCTCGCGGCAACGTTGATGGTGTGTGGCCTTGGCTGGAATATAGACGGATGAGCGTTCGTGAACCACGCCCAATGTGTGGTCAGCATACGGCGGATGGGTTGCTTTTCGTTTCCTAGAGAGTATCTTGTCCTGGACTCCTGGCTCGATGGAATCTTTCTCCTTGGACTCGGATTGAATCTCCACCTGCACGCATTTGACGCGCTTATTAATCTGCGGCAGTTGTGACGTCGAATCGGTAGCAGGTCGGACCGATCGTACGGGGTCTACTGTTCAGTTAGTATCAATTTTTGAGTTTCGATTTGGAAGCGCGCATTGTATCTACAGTGGCCACAACAGCGATGCTGTGAAGTAGGGTGACTCGTGTACCGAAGCATCACCGAGTTCCGACGCAATTACTGATCGTGAAAATGCACTCGCGCTTACAGAAAACAAAAGATCGATAGAGTGTGCGAGCAATTGGTGTGGTGAAGTTGTAGAATGCTCATTGGGATAACGAAATCTAATGCGACCGCTTCGGAGACAACGGGCTCGGTTTTAGCATCTGCGTGATGTAGATGGTCAAGCGTACCCCTTGTCAATTCGGTGTGTCGTTCAGCAGCTTCTGAGCTTCAATTGCATCGTTAAGGCAACGGATGCCGAGAGCGGATGGTGGCGGTCGGGTTGTGGTCGCTATCGAGTTGTGCAGGTTTTCTGCGATCTCCGTCCATTTCACATTGTCGTTGGCGTTTTAGATACGCTGGAGGGAAACATGCCGAGCTTTGGGGATGCACATGTTGCGTCTCCCGATCGTGGACAGCGCTACAAAATTTACAAATCGTTGAAATGTAAATTGGATCGATGAATCTGCTTCGTCTGGCGGCATCGAATGATAGTGAAGTGAAGCACGGGCATTTTCGCCGGCATCTATGCCGTCAAGTACTGTAGTTAGCTATAAAGTTTGTGGCGAGAGGCGAGCGCGTTTCTCGCAGCAATGCTTATCGTGGGTCGTCTTTGTGGGAAGATAGATCGAGCTCCGTGCGTACTGTGTGTCCGCAATGAGTAACCACGCGGTGGACAGGTGGATTTGGTTTCCTAGGGAGCATCTCGTCCTGGATTCCTGCCTAGGTAGGTCCTATTCGTCCTGGCTGCCGATTGACTCGCCACCAACCCGCGATTAACGCACAAGATACTGTGTTGCATCGGTTGTGGCGTCGAATGTGGGCCGATCGGTGAGTGGATGGCGGTCGGAGTGTACGCTGGTGGGCTGTATCGTTGGTATGAATTTCTGAGGGGATTCCAAGACCATTTTGAAGCTCACTACTGGGCCGGTAGCGTCATCTGCGGCCACAACGGCGATGCTGCGAGGGCGAGCAACTGCTGTGGCGTAGCAAATGGGGTTTCCGACCCCATTATCGATCGTGAAAGATGCATTCTCACACAAAACAAACGTGGGCTGGGGTATAAATGTAGGCTTTTGTGTTTGGATAGAAGATCAGTGTTGTCACTTACCTAGCGGCTAACGACTACTAAAGGCTGTTAACTATCATCTGAAGAGTGGGCTCCTACACTTCGTTCACTGGAAAGTGCTACATGATCACACAGGTCCTTGATGTGTGAACTGGATTGTTTGTTCGTGGTACAAGCTTTGGGTCTCGATGTCAATTAATGAGAACACGTTGAATACTTAATTTTTTGTTATTTTTTGCTCGAAGCCGTACTTCTGCACTAAAAAACAAGCAAACAACTGTGTCTATAGTTTTGTTTTCTTGCTGAATGTCTGGATGGTAACACTATGCAGCGTATCTAAACCGCATCTGTGGGGAGGAAAAAATAAACAAACTGAATTTTGGGTTGCCGGGGTGAATACGTTGCTAGCTTTTAGTGGTGAGCACCATCACTGGGTTAAAGTTTTCTACTGTTTCTTGCCTATTTAGTAATCTCCCTCAATTAGCTACAGATTACCACGACATGTCTGGCTATCATTCCTTGACGTAACTCACGCGGAACCTGCCAAATTCTTCCCACGGTGCTGACGAGGCCCTCGCCGCCTCGCGGTTGTCGCGAAGCCGCTGCGAGAAAGCTTTCTCCACGGCCTCGCGCTTCTCTCGTAGTGACAGCTCGCCCAGATACTGTGCGCCGTCCGATGTGAACGAGGCAGGCGCGCTCGTTACCAGCACGTCGCCGCTCACGCACAGTCGCTGACTGCGCCAGCATCCCATTCGCAAGCGTAGGTGGTAGGATGGACCGTCCTTTGACCAAGTGAAGATCTGCAGGTACACAACGAGTCGTCCGGACTGATCCACGCGCATCTCGGCGATGTAGTCTCCGTTTGATCCTGCGCTGATACTCGACGCCATTCCATTGGGAAACTGCGAAAACACGCGCTCCTTGCCGTCCAGTATTAGGCGCATGCAGTCCTGAACGCCAACAGCGGCTGTATCCTTCTCTTTGTGTCTCGCGACCAACTGCGAGCTATGGAGGCGATTTTCCCACCATTAAAGACTGAACTTCTCACTGTTGATCGGAGGCTGATGAGCAGCGAACTCGCGAGTTTGCACGTGCAAACCGACAGAGAGGAATATAACCAAGTCAGGAGCATGCTCCACAGGGTGCAGTTGGCCCTAGCAAGCGTATTCACTACTGTGTACGATCCAGATTCACTGTTTACTTTGGCGTGGGAAACGTGGCTGTTCATGGTGATGACGACGCAGTGGGTGCTAGTGATGTTCCAGTCGTGCTTCCCTCTGGAGGAAGGACATAATAAGGTGGACTCACTCATGGTCTTCTTAGAGTGTTCGTTTCTCCTGGACGTTTTCATTCGCTCACGACTTGGGTTCTACGAGTACGGGAATAAAATCATGGATATCCACCGCATCAAGCACCAGTACTTCCGATCGGGGGCTTTCGCTTTGGATATCATCGCGCTATTGCCGCTTTATGCTGTGAGTTGGGGCATAGAGTCGTACCAGCGATGGGACCTCCTGAACGTCATCAAACTTCTGCGATTGTTCAAAGTTCCCAAGCAACTTCACGCACTCGAGACGCGGTACCTTAAGCGAACGACGGTGCTGCATCTGTTCAAACTGCTCTACTACACGTTCATGCTCTCGCACATTCTGGGCTGCATCTGGTTCAACTTTGCGTCGGGAGTAGCCACCCCCAAATTCAGAGACAGCTCAGCCCCGACCGCCACCCAGACGGCATTGGGTGAGAACCTGTGGCTGCCATCCAAGAAGCTGGAAAATGGGTCGCTCATGCTCCAGTACATGGCGTCTCTCCGTTGGTCGTTCGGTCTCATGTCGTCTTCAGGCGAGTCCGAGTACCCACAGACCACGGCCCAATGCATTTTCAGCGTTGTGACCATGACCGCGGGCGTTTTCCTGTTTGCGTACGTGATTGGTAATTTTACCGATATTATCGAGCTCACAAGCTCCGAGAGCAGAGAATTCGATGTCAAAATGGAGGCAGCACAACAAATGCTAGACCATTTCAAGATCCCGACTATCCTCCAGGAGCGGGTCAAGCAAGACCTTCTTGTTGTTTAAAAGGTACCACACGATCACCCAGGAGCATCTGCTCGGAGAGTGTTTGCCACCGTCCTTGCTGACGGATATCCGCCTTGTATACCTAAAGCCCATGATCGAGAAAGTGGATTTCCTCGCGGGAATGGAGATATCCATCACGCGAATGCTGGTGTCCCAGTTCACGCAGGTGCTGGTTTCTCGTGGCGAGTTTGTTTTCAGGTTCGGGGACTGCGGCAGCGACATGTTCTTCGTATTCACGGGCATCCTCGACGTTCTGCTGCCCATGCAGCTAGCCAAACGTTCCAGACCCACGTTCAGAGCTGTAGCAGACACTGTAGCAAGCAAGGAGAACGCGTCCTCCCAGGCTGGACCGACACCGGAGGATATCGATAACAGCTTGCAGCAGATCAGTATTCCAGGCCAACTGAAGAAGATGAACGAGATATCCGCTGGCAGATATTTTGCTGAGAACGGATTATTCACGAATGGGGAACGGGACGCCTACATCCAGGCTCGGACGTCGTGCATCCTGTAGTGACTGTCGCGCGAATCGCTGGAGCTAGTATTCGAGCGCTACCCCAAGTGGAAGGAGAAGGTCATTCAAATCGCGAATATTCACCGTGAGCAGGCGCGACTGGAGCAGCTTTCGCGCGATGAGCAACGCCGTGGGATGCTGATAGGTGGTGGGCGAGCTTTGTCACGTTCGGACATTGTGAATGAGCGAGCCGAGGGGTTGAAAGGAGCGCGATATCACACCCGTTTGCAGCGTAGCAACACTGGGAGCAGCAGTCGGATCCTCCCAGTTCCGACGTCGGTGGGTTTGGTAGACCAGCAGGTTCAGAAGCCTCTTCTTCGGTTGGTCGATAAGTTTCTTCACGGGGTTCCAGTGCAGAGCAAGTTCCACCACTTTTGGCTGCGGTTCATCATTTGCTGCACCATGTTTGTCGCCGTTATGACCCCCTACCAGCTCACGATAGACGCTATGGATCGCACAGCGGTCGTCCCCGTTCTCGTAATTATCATAGGGATCCTTTGCGAAGTCGCTTTCGTCGTGGATCTTTGGTTTAGCTGGCACGTGCGTGAGTCCCAGGCGTCAATGGAACTGTATGACCAAAAGCTGCGGAGCGTGTACAGGAAGGAGCGGATGCTCTGGGATATCCTCGCCGCCATTCCGTTCTACGATGTGCTGGCAGTACTGGGCTGCAGTGCGTGGTTCAAATTGCTACGTTGCATCAAGATTTTCAACCTCGGCAGCTACTTCAACGAGCTAAACCGACGTAGCATTTCCAACGAGACAACCAGCTTTTGGCACGTCTGGATGGGGTATTTGTTGGTCATCTACTGGGTGGCGTGTGCGTATCTGGCAGTGTCGATGGACGCAGGCTTCGGAGCAGAGTGGGAAGGGTAGCTTCCGTCCCAGGATCTGGTTGTCTCGGACCCTCAGAATCCGTTCTCCTCTCAGCTCGCGCTTCGTCTATTGCGGGGACTTTTCTTCGCGATGGTGACTTTCGTCAAGAAAGCTTACTGCCCCGAGCCTGAGACTGCAACGCTCTACGCGTTCCACATCGCTATCCGTACGTCGTGCGTGCTTCAAGTGTCCACAAAGCCCCTATCGTGGTTCATCATGAAGGTCATCGCCCCTGTTTGCTGGGAAGAAAGCCAGAGGATGGACGAGTTCACGCGCGCTCTTGCTGAACGCTTGCGCTTCGAGTGCTACCCACGCGATGAGAGTGTTGTCACGGAAGGAAGTATCGTGCGAGCCATGTATTTCGTGATCAAAGGCCACTTGAGCATGCACAGCCGCTCTCTCCTGGATCGACCGGTTGGGCTCCGTAGTGGCAGCTACTTCGGAGAGCGTGGTTTGCTGGGGTGCACCATCAGCGCTTATACTGTACGGACCGTACGGGCCTGTGATCTGCTTTCTCTGAGCTCCGAGGCGTTTGTTCAAGTGCTGCAGGGGCACCTATTCACTCGTCTCGCTCTCAATTTGTGTGAGGGTGCGTACAAACACCTAAAGAAGCAACACATTGCGTCTTGCTCGAGAACTGACATGGAAGAGCACTGGGGAGCAGCTCTACTGGGAGCCGTCCAAGCGATCCAGACCCAGAGACAACCAGCTGCGCAAGCGAACCTCCCTGTTGCCAAGGAAGTCGCTGGGAAGGAAGCGGGTGACCCTCCTCCCAACTCGGATCGGATTCCTTTATCGTCCCTACGACGTAAAGTCACACGCCAGAACAGCAAGGCTCCGGAGAAGCAAGACCATCTCCTGCGCAGCGGCCACAAAGATGTACCGAACGTTGGTGAAGCTAAGGGCGTCCACATTGCGGACAAGGAGAGCGATGAGCTTCCTGCCAACATTGATTTGATGTTCAAAGCTCTGAAGACGCCCCACAGCTGCTTCGAGGCGTTCGCCCCCCTGCTTCACATCATGCTGGCGACCGACCCGCTGGAGTGGCATGTGAGTTTCAATACCCTCAACAGTACCGCCCTGCCGAATGCAATTGAGTCGGCAGACAATTCCGGGTGCTGGCGGCGCAACTCGCCCCCAGCAGCCGAACATGCAATTGCGTCACCACTCATCAGCCGCAATGAAGAAATTGAGCAATAAACTCAAAAGTAGTGCGAAAACCTATTTGTCGAGGAAACTCCACTTTGACTTCTTTTCATGTAAGACTATGAATTGGCTAGTTAGCTGGTGCCAAGTACAAAAATGTATCTTCCTTCAAAATCGTCAAAAGCTGCCTTTGTCATTCCTTCTTAGTTTTCTTTCTTTCTTCCCCTTACAGCCTTTTCAAGTCGTCGCTTCACGTGCTTCATCATCGCCGAGCCTTATCCTCACATGCTGACGCCTTTTTGCTCGTTACTTCACGCAAAGTTGCTGGAAATGAGCCCTGCACGGGCCCCAAGTGACATGGAGATCGAGCGGAACGTGTCCCCGAGATCGTCAATTGAAATGGCTTCGTGCACTGTCCCGCCAAGGTGCTCGGCGAGATCTGTGACGCCCAGATCGCTGACACGTCCATACCCAACCACAAAAGCTCGCAAGCCCGACACCGCGTACTGCTGCCGCATGCTCGTCGCTAGCTTCAGCCCTTGCTTACGGTCAGCAGGTCGACCGTCCGTGAAGAAGATGAGTACAGGCTGGTACTTTTTCCTCGGATTCCGTGAGAGCACGGCGTTCGCTTGTTTCAAGCCCTTCTCATAGTACGTCCCACCACCACGGAAGTTCACGTATCGCGTTGCAGCCTGCTCAATCTTGACTTTTTCATACTCGAGAGTGCCCTTATCCCCAAAGGTAATTACCGAGACGATATCTTGACGACAGCCGCACGACATGCGACCTCGCAAATAGTCCCGGACTCCTCTCACCAACGCTTGCCACGGACCGCCTTTCATCGACCCCGAGCAGTCCAAGACGAAAACGTGGTGCAATATACCAGCGGAGGCGGCATGCGAGCACGTAAAACGATGGCCGTTGATGTACGTGACACCATCTCGCTCCAGGAAGGGAACGGATGCAGCAGGTAGATGCCAGACAGGGAGATCACAGCCGGAAGGTTCTTTCTCACGCCCTTTGTGGTCCGGTGCATTGCATAAGTACGGACACTTAGTGAACAGCGCGCGCTCTGCAGGGGACGAACAAGGGTCTTCCCACCCGATCGTTCTCCAGTACTCAGCATGCAACACTTCATCAACCTCGTGGTCTGGGGCTGGAATCAACGCAGTTTCGCAGTGGCGTCGGTGATCCCCCAAAGCCGAGTAGACACACGCATCAGCACTCTGGTAGCACTTGAGGTAGTGGACGTGTCCTCGTCCGGCTGTAGAGCAGTACAAATTGCACATTTCGGCGCTACCCTTCTCGCCTGCGGCGTACTTGCGGCTGTCCCAGCTGATGGTGCTCTGCTTAGCAACAAAGCGCATCTTGCGCATGTTGCCGTGTGCAGCAGAGTGCAGTCCGTGGTGTCCGAACGGTTTGGCGCAGTAATACTCACAGGCCACGCATCTCGCGGCGCATCCATGAGGGGCTACCCTCCCATCCCACAACTTCTTGGCACACGAGTGCATACCGCCGTGGCTTGTTTGTCCGGGCTCCAATATGATGGCGCACTGGTTGCGTGTTCCAACCATCCGCTTCGATCCATACTCGAAATTGTCGAACGAACCGCTGAACTGACGCGTGGAGACTCGGACGCTTTTGCTGCATATGCCATTCGCCTCACAAACTTTACTGCATACGTGGCTTGAAGCACACATATGCCGCGCATTTTCACTGCTGCCCGTGTAATACCCAAGCAAGCCTCCTTGTTCTTGGGCAAGTGTTGCACTTAATCCAGGATTTCCATGAAAATGGTTTGCGGAATCGCAACGCTCCTCACAGCTTTCCATCTCGCACGCATAGGCGCACTGCGTCTCCACACACTTGTGCACAGTGTGAAGCCGCTCTCCGTTCAACACGCACACCCCTTCACAATTTGGCGCACTGCACAAAATACCGCAAATGTGCTGCTTGACGGAGCAGCGATGATTTCCGTCATGCCCCGCCATCTGCACGCAAACAATTTCGCAGTTCGAAGCATCCGCGAGACTGCATACAAACCCGCAAGTGTGGTCTCCCTTTCCGCAGTCGCACGTTCCTTCGTGGCCAGCCTTACCGGTACAGCGAGGAACCTGTTCACGGTGCTGGTAGCTCTGCACACAGTACTCACAATAGCTGCGACACACATGAGTCATGCCACAGTTGTGCTTCTCCTCACCTGGGGAGTGGCAAGCTGGGCGCATACACTGGAGTTGGCACTGCGCGCACCCATGACCACACCTCTTAAAACGCGTCTCGAACGGGAGAAGTCGAGCTCGCTCGATGTTATCCCAATCATCCGCAAATCGCTCAGGTCCCAGGAATTCCTTCACCCAGACGACAGCCTTCGATTTACGACGGCAAACCAAAAAAGACAGCATGGCGTCGAAATTGGTGTAGTCTGCCGTGGTGATTTTTTCTTCTGCTCCCTTCAATATCAGCTCCAAATAGTGTTGAAACAGCATCGTGATGGTATCGTAGATAGACCCTGTGTCCGCTGTTTCAGCGCAGACTGATGGTCCAAAATCTAAATTCTCGTCAATCGCTGCTAGTGAGAACTGGAGGTTCAAACGCTTCCAAGATTCAGCAAACTCGGGGTAGTCATGGCATAGATCTTCGAAAGAAAGCATTCCAGCAGCACGCTCGTTCTTTGAATCCGGCAGAATTCCTGTGCGAATGATACCAGGCAGATTTCGGTGAAGCTCCTTCATCTGAAGTTGTTGCGCGGTTTCTTCAACAGTGGTCCAATCCAAGATCGACATTTTGGCCAATACCAGTCGGATAAAGTCGTGGAAGGCTCTCCCGCTTCGAAACCCATGCTCCGCTTCGCCCTG